GCTAAGACTGGGTGTTATTTTTTATTGTAAAAATGGCAACAGACGTTAACTAGTTGTCATAATAAATGGTCTTCTTTAGTAATATTTTCTGGTTATTATAACCTACAAGTGACAGCATCAAAGTGCAAAGAGTAGAACATTTCTTTGATTAACAGGGAGAAACTTCCAGCCACTCATTAGCCCAACCAAAGCAAGTAATCCTATAATTTTCGACTAACATGCTGTGCACAGCACCATTTTCTGGAAGTCCCCAACCAATCTTTTGCCCCTTGGCAATGTGAAAGGGAGCTTTTCTTACCCTTAATAAGGGTGCAAAGAAAATTATTCACCTTCTTGATATGCAAGAAGCAGGTAACTTTGCTTTCAAGTATTTTATTTATTTTCCTTCTAGATTTGCTTTTCAAACAATTATGAACTTGATAGCCCTTTGTTCACTGGCTGAAAAAAAATGTAATTGCCATTTTTCATCAGAGAAATCCACAATAGGTTGATTAAAGTTATGGAAAAAGTTATGAAAAAGAAATAAACAGATGTGAGTGAGTCAGTTGAAGAATTATGTCAGAAAAATATATATGCATAATCAAGGTTCTTTCCTTAAGCCTTCTTAAGTCTTTGTGATTTTGTACTTCACTAAAGATGTGTGTAATTTGAGCTACTGTATCTAGACTACTTTTTGACACTTTCTTTTCCTTATTTCCTCTTTTTCTTATTTCAAATTCTGCTTTAAGAATTAAGCGTCTCATGTTGACATGACTGTTTTACACATGCTGATGGTCTCCAATGGCCTGTGTCTCAGCGATGCCCTTTTCTACCCAGATATTTCAAACGTGTTTTTATTACTGTTGATGTTTGCTATTATGCTGGTCTTTCCTATATGTTTTTTTCACTGCTTTCCTGCTTTTTCCCCCATCTCATACAACTCACAACTTTCTTGATTCTTAAATCCTATTATGTGTTCAGCGGTAAATTAAATACTGACAGGTCCTAAACAACTGGCTGTAGAGTTTTTACATGCTACCCTTGCAGCTGTTTAGTATATAATATATTTATTTATACTTTGTTTCCAACCTTCCAAAATTTTAGTAGAAAAATGATTGTAATATTACATCAATATTTAGTTTTGTGTGTTTGTGGTTTGTGACTAACAAAAATGTTTTTCTGCTAAAGCTGATGTCCAACGGGATCATACTTTTTTTGTGTAATTTTGTGTGTAATTTTCTAGGCTTGTGTCCAACAGTAAATTGTTTCTCCAAAAGCTACATGTGGAACAGCAGTGGCTCTGCTTAGTGTTGGAAGTGGTCAGAAAGTACAATTTCTTTGGCTTTTCCTCTTTCATTAAAGAACAGAATGTCAAAAAGCCTGGCACCAAGAGCCTACAAAAGCCATGTGTGGCTGCTTGTCCCGAAACAACCCATCCTGTCAATGTGCCATACTAGGCAGTTGTTGTATTGTTTGGAAAGGAACCTTCTGAGAGGGATCTTATTTCTGGCACTTTTGGAATTCTTCTTATTAAACATTATACCTTCTTTTGAAATCATCTTTTAGATCTAAGAAGGTGAAATACCCCAAACAGCTCATTCTAATAGCAGTGATACTGCTACTTAATCCATTTGGTGTTTTCTTAGGAAAGTGTTTAGAAGTTGTGAAACGTCAAGATTTTTTAGCTTTGAACGGAATGATTTTTTTTAATACAGGAAAAGTATGACCCTTCTGTAAAATCCCATTGAATCATTTTAAACAAGATGGTTTAAATATCTTCCTTGATTCTCAGTCTTAATTTGACAACTGTGGTCAATGAAGTGTGGCTTATTTATGGGAATATCACCAGATTGGTAGAATATAATGTATTATGAAATGACAAAATTAGTGTAGATTAGCTTTGGTAGATAAGTTATTTTAGACTGACCAGCCATTTCCATTACATCAGTGGTGTTTCTCTTGGCTAGTTGTAAAAATGTTTCATTCACTGTGAACAAAAGGCATTTTGGTTTGTTGTGATTTCGCTAGATAATAAGGAAACTAAACAGGTTATGCTACCATTGAATGAATTATGTAACGCAAAAAGATCTTGATGTTGTATTAAAACTAATGTACTATAGAGCTACATTAAACTTTTTTCTGAGGTTTAATGTTAATAGTATGATATTTACACTTATGCACTTTTAAGATGCCCAATCTTTCCCCTACTGCAACATAAGAGTCTATCTGTTAAACGTCACTTTTGTTTTAGAGGTGGACAACTTGAAGAATCTCCATCTCAGGTTGAGAAAAAAAGAAAATTCTCTTTTAATATAATAAGAATAGAATTGTAGTCCAAAACATGTTGGCAAAACAAAAATTATTCACCACAATGAAATTGAGATATTTAAAGTTGAATGTTGGGGGTTGTGCATCAGGAAGTTCCATACTGATGCATGGATTTTACACTTTTTGCAATTTTTGGAAAAAAAAAATGGAATTGGAAATGGATTTACTTCAAGATTGAGGTTGTAGTGTTTTTAAAACAAAGACTGTGTTTGGGTGTCTGATTTGTCATGGAAAAACCACTTGTCTTTGAAAAACACTGACGCACTGATAGTTTTTATGATAGGGTTCTGTGGTATTGACAAAAGTTATTTGTGGTACTGAACCTGCTCTCATAGATAAACCATACTGTAAAGGCCCATGTATTGACTATCTTGTTTGGAAATGTGCAAACATTTTTGGATTGTATTCAAGAGCAAGCTCAATTGTAGCTTGGGGTTTATCTTAATATTTTCAAAGATCCTAAACATTTCAGTCAAGATGTTAAAGTAAAAAATGCTAAAAATGCTACATAAAAAAAAGATATTCTATATGGTGAAACCTGTCAGGATAGTGACTTAGAATAACGTAAAACCTTCAATGTTGTTAAATTAAATCTGCAAAATATATTTTTTTAAAAAATAGAAATTGTTCTCTTCATACAGGACTTTGTTTTTGTTTGTTGCATTGTAGATGTCCAATGCCAGCAACCACAGTTTGCATTCTCTTCCGCTACCCTTTTTTTCTGTGTTGTTAGAGTTATCAGGAAGTCTTTATGCTGGGTGTTTTTTTGCACATAAAGAACAAGTCCTCACCCCAGAGATCACAAGCTAACTCCTTACTAATGTTGTTTTTCCACTTCATGTGATCCGCCCATGTTTATATTTTACTACTGAAATTGACCGCAGTGCTTCTGCTACTATTCTATAACTATTGTATTTGTTACCAAGTAATTTTCTGCATTGAAACTGAATAATAATTTCTTGCTTATACAAGACAAAGGTCTGAAGACCATCTAGTGTCAAGTAATTTTTCTGTGTTTTGGGGACAAAAATGTCAGAATTTAACTGTACACTGTACTGTACACATGGACTCTAAAATCCTAAACATATTATAAAGGAGGTGGCAGTTATAGTGTACAGTATATCAGGGAAAGTTCAGTTGCACTTAAGCAAATACAGTTTTGATTCATATTGGCAATCCTACCATTCCTATGGAATCATACTGCATTGTTTTGGAAAAAGGAAGCACTATCAAGACTATTGTAAGTGAAGACCCAAGTTACACCTATCAGAAAAGTCATTGTAAATGGCAGGCATTTATAAATGTTTAAATATATACAAGGTGGATTTCATTGCAGTGAGTTTGGGCTTCATAATGTGGGTTTCTTGATTAAGGGTTAGAACCATATTTTATATCTTGTAAATGTGTTTGACTTGTCATTCCTGTTTATGTTTAAGAATTAGAGTGGAATCATGACAAAACAAATGTCACATTTTGCAGTGTTTGAAGCACAAATTTGAAGTTTTCTACTCCTGTTAGTAGAAAGAAATTCTGTGCCAGTGGCATGAATAATGAGAAATACAGAACAAGAGTTTTAACATACCAAAAAGCAACTGAACATCCGTGCATGCTCATTAATAACATAGCTTAATGCATCTTTTATAATGAGAGTTATATAGTGGCGTTTCTTTTTGTTTTGGAAATTAAGAGCTATGGCTAATGATAAAGATTTGTTTCCACTGTTACAGATACATTTTATATGTTCAGATGAATCTAAGAAGAAACACTCAAAATCATTTTTTCCCCAAAAAACATTATTGTATTGCTGGGATTTCTAGGTAGAGAGCAGTAATCATTTTTAGTTTCTGTTAAGTTGAAGTTTTTTTTTTTATCTTGATAAGCTTAGTGTATTGTGATATTTCAAGTATAGTGTGTTTTTCAAACATAAAGAAGATAACAGCATGGAGAAATTTCCAAATGCCATTTCTTAAGCGAAAGTTTGTTTTATAACAATTATTTTCACATGAAAATGTATCAACGTTTATGCTTCCCGAGATTCTTTTTTATGTTTCAGAATGTTTTGAAATACACAGTACAAAGACTTCTTGGTCTTAATATCACGTTTGGCAGACCTCTTTCCTCATCATGTACTGTCTTTAGCCATGTGGTTCACTTGTCATAGCTTAGCTTCAGCACTGGTTGGGCTTTATTGATCACTTGCTGTAGTTCTTGTCCTGTCAGGGCAGCATTTTGTGTTTGGATTAGTTATCTACATTAATGCTTGTTTGGCAGTACTGCAGTTTTCCATTCTTATAGTATGTCTAAAACTCTATATATTCTATATCTATATAGTCTGCTTCTTCAGACATTTGCTGACAAGTGTCTTGTTAGCATCTATGCGACCAACTTCTCTTATTCTTCAATTTTAAAGATCTTTTCATTTTAGTGGTAAGTTGTGCACATCTTGATGTTTCAAATATTAATTCTGTTTTCATGGTTTGCAGAGAACACTCTACATCGAACCTGAGTCCTTTCAACTTTGTCCAAAGCCCTTTCATCATGTTGATGATTGGATTCTAATTCACTATATACACTGAGCAGTCTGTTAAATTGCCAGTGATGCATGAGCTTTTATTGTTTGATTTTGTAGTTTGGTTGGGTTATAGGAGAGTGGATTATCGCTAACTCAAGATCAACCCTCCTCCTTTACCCAGGCTTGGAACTGGCACCTGAAGGTGATGAATGCCAAAAGAACACAACAGATAAAAGAGGAAAAAAAAGTTTGCATAGAAGAATGAAGAGACTACAGAGGTTTGTAGCTAGAGCTCTGACTAAGAATAAATCTTCACATATTAGACAACAGTGCTGTGCCTTTACTGTCACACTTAAAAGACCATAAACTGCCAAGTTTCCAAGCCAAATTCCATTTCTTGGGCGCATCTTCTTCCTTTTAAGGACTGAATTGGTGTGCAGACATTTTTAAGATAATTTTTTATTATTTTGGTTCATAATGTAATCATAATTATTATTATTTATACATACAGTGAAAATTTTTTCAGATCCTTAAACAATTCTTATGGTTATATAATGCTATATACACAACCTACTTTACATTTGACAAACAAACAAAAAGAGAACAGATAATACGAAATAAAATAAAAAAAGTCATGCTTCATATGTACAGTATTGAACAATTTCACGTGGCAACCCTAAATTGAGGTCTGCAAAATTAGATGCATAGTTGAGTGGCCTCAGTTTGTCTGCAATAATATATGTTTTTATTCTTTCAAATTTCAAGCAAAGAATTAGGCACGAAGACTATGGTGCTTTCATAGCAGACCAGTAAAAGTCAAAAGCACAGATTGGGAAAAGGTACAAAAGTATTTTTGAATGTCCCTGTGAATTCAATCTACTCAGTTATCAATATAAGGAAGTTGCACTGTGCTATCCTGATAGTGCTTGGATCAGGTTGTCCCTCTAAATTTGAGCTGCCAGGCAAGAAGGAAGCTGATGAGAGATGCTACTCTGAAGCCAATGAAAACTTTGAAAGAGCCGCAGAGTTCAATGGCTGGAATGGGAGAAAATGTGTATCAGTCAACAGTTTCCAGCAAAGCTGACCAATAATGAAAAGAGGCAAACCCATCTTAAATCCCACATATAGCTAGCAAAAAAGCATTTTGATGATGAAAATATGTGGCAAAAAGTTTTGTGGTCATATGAGACGAAATTGGAACTTTTTTTTATAACTGTAAAGCGTTATATCTGGTACAAAACCAATACAGCTCCCACCCAGTCAAAACTATCCCTACAGTTTAGCATTGTGGTGGCGGCATCATGCTATAGCAATGGTTTTCCTCAGCTGGAACTGGAAAACGTGTCAGGACTGGAGGAAAACTGGAGCAACGTTAGGCGAGTACTACAGGAAAACTTGTTTCAGTCTGCTAAAAACTTGAAGCTAAGGCGAAAATTAGCATTTCTGCAGGCCTATAATGCAAAGCACAAGGTCAGAGATACACCTTAAGAATAAGAAAGTGATTGTCTTTGTGTGTCCTGGTCAAAGTCCTGACTTGAATCCTGTTGAGATCTATGGAAAGAGTTAAAAACTGTTGTCCGATAGTAGTCTCCAAACTGAGGCATTTTGAGTAACACTGCCAAGAAGAATTGGAAAAGTTTTCACCAAGTCGGTGTGCAAAATTAAAAATAAGACTTACCAAAAGATGCTTGCAGTTGTAATTGCTGCCAATGCTGCTTCCACCTTCAGTTCACTGGTCTGCTTACTAATACAATTAACATAAGTTAATATATTCCATCACCTTCTTATCAAGTATTGTTTGTCACAATTGTTACAATTATGTATAATTTTGTACAATTTAAAAGAAACCTATTATATATTTTTTTAATTCATCAGTTATATCAATAAGCTATTATTATGAAAAGCTGCAAGATTAAATTTGGTTCTTCTTGCTTCTGCAATCAATGCTATTATGGCAAAGTGTACACAGCTCTATAGAAACTTTAACAAACAGAAAAAACAATCATGCTATTGTGTAACTTGCGCGACCTGTAATGTTGTAACCAAAAACAGTTGGAGGAATCGATTTACTAGCATACAAAGTATGCACCAAATCATTTTCATTTATATTACTATGCTTTGACATACATGTTTAGGTGTATGTACTTGACTGTGCTGGAGTTTATCAGCTGGAAGCTTGCATACATTATGGTTTATAAAAGGTAACAGGTTGCCACTTAACTAAGAACTACCTACCTCCTCAGCATTACATTAATGCAAGAGTGGGATTGTAGGTTGTGAGGTACTGAGCTACAAATTGGTCCCATCAATATGACAGTACACTACGGTCTCGACATATAGTAATATTACATTCGCAAATTTGCTTATCCACCATTTCGTCTTTGGGGTCTTGGATGGAAGAAGAGCAGAGTGGAATAAAACCAAGCGATAGACTATTATATGCAACTTTCAGATGAACCATGCAAGAGACTAGGTTTGTGAGATGAATCTGCCTAGTGAGCAAGTCTCCCCTTGCCACCTGCCCAAGTACCAACTACTCAGCCGCTACTTCTCAGTGTGATTTCGTTTTTGCATTGTAACGAACGGTCCCAGTTTTTTGTCAGTTGCATATGGAATGAAAGGCTAGAGACGACTTTACAGGCTCAACATAGTTTTATTGGTTGACTTGTGTTTTCATTTTTAGATTGATTATAGTTTTTGCACATTCTACATTTACAAATATGGTGTTTTGTGATATGGCATTTGGCATAAAGCCCAGCTGGGAAAATTGCCCAGGCTTGTCAAGCTCAGTGAAAGTTTCAGTAACTACACAACACGTGTATGTGGTGTTTGCTATTACATTAATTTTGCATAATTACATAAGATCCAGCAAACATACAATATATCTATATGTTTTTTATTTCCTTTATCTAAGTGATAGATTTACAATATACCATTTTTTTGTGATATTTAGTTGTATTATCATGTACATTTGTAGTGTTGTTTTTGACCAGTTCCTGAATCATATATGCAGTATTCCTCAAATGCCATAAATTGGTGCAGAGTGGACAGTTTTTTCCTTGGTTTCTCAGGGTTCATATTTTGGTTATGTGAAGTCCACCAGAGACGTTTTAATGCCTTTTTTCTTTTTCGAGTTTGTTGTTGTGGCAGGCAGTACCACTTTCCTGAAACATACAGGTGTGAGACACAAAATCAGTATTATGATGAAAGAATGGTAGGAGTTGTGTGCTCAGTTATATGATGTAACTGGCATTATTAAGCCTGAACAACTATCACAAAAATACTTTTTTAACCAACACAAATGCCAGCCAACACCACGAGACAGATGCTACATTGGACTGTCCTCTGCAGACATCACCTGTTTTTATCCACACATCTGCTGCTGCTGCAGTGCTAAAATCATGATTCATCAGAGCAAACTACTGTCCCGTCAAATACTAGAGAATAGTGACACATTTCTGTAGCTGTGGAAATTCCCCACCTTAAACTTGCTGTAGTGAATAAATTATTTCTTCTAACTGCTTTCCATAGGTTTTATCCGATGAACTGTATCTTTGCCTACCTGCTGTTACTGCAGCATCTAAAAGCTTTTCACACTTGCCTTATTTATGCCCTTCTGATATATGTGAAAATGTTTGATGTGTGTTTGGTGATGTTTGGCAGTTGTCATACTGTTAAAATTGAACTGGGTGACCATTATTTACATATCATTTTGACAAGCTAATATCTGCTCTAGTCACTCTAGTGTAGTCAAATTCAAACCAGTCTCCAGGAAATAGGAAAGTAGCTACACATGTGAGTAGTATTCTAATTACATCTTGTGTTTTAACAACATAGTATGTTTAGTGTGCAGATGTATAAAAGGTATTCAGATATGTGCTCAAGTAAAAGTACTGTTACTCCGACAAACATGTATTTAAGGAAAACACCCCTTTTCAAAAACTACTTGAAAGCTTAAGTGTGAATGTGTCTTAACATTAAATTAATCTCAGAATTAAAAGTAGGCATTGTTGAATTCTGCCTAAGAAAACATGCATTTCATGCCAGTTAAATTTATCAGCAGCACTACTTTTTTAAATGAAACCACATTTATGCATGTAAATCTTAAAGCAGAAATTGAAATTGTAGAACTTATGCTACACATGTGAAAGGGCTTGCCAGGGTTTTGATTCTGACCTGTTTGCTTATAGACTCAAGAGTGTGGATTGACTCCCTTTTTTCCTTTTGCTAATTATTCACAGTAAAGTCAACACTGTGATCTTTTTCAGCTGGCGGGGGTGTTTTCTCTGCAGAGAAAATCATATTAAATGTATAGCAGTTTAAATGATCATATTTCAGTTTTTAGAATTAGTCATATCTGTATATGTATGTTCACATTAATTAATTCCATAACCTGTTTATTAATGAAAGGAAATTAAAAAACTGATGCAGATTTTTTACCTTTATGGTAAGTGAATATACAATACGTTGACAGTGTACTTGGTAAGCAAAGAAGGCATTTGCGGTGCAGAGGCAGATCAAAGTAGATCTTTAAGGTAAGACCATAGGTGATCCGTGTTCTTCTCTGCCATTTTCAATATGAGCTACAAACAGCACATTTATCTTCCCTTCTGGCAGTATTCTTGTGTTGACGGGCGACACGTGGTTAGCATTTCTGCCTCTCAGTTCCAGACCTGGGGTGCTTTCCCTGTGTTCAAATGGGTTTCCTCCTGGGTACTCCAGTTTCCTCCCATAGTCAAAAGACACTATGTCTTACTTGTTGCCCATGTATATTTGTGAAAGTGACATTTGATGTACTGTTGTCCTGTTCAGGGTTTAGTTCTCCACAGAGCCCGGTGCCTGCTTATTCAATGGATGAATTTTGATTATTATTCTTATTTGATTTATATTAAGCACAGATCAATATGGTGAAGATTTTTCTGCAGTGTTCTCAGCCAGTGGCTGTTATGAAACTTAAAACTTAACTTTTCACTTTATGTGATGCCTGAAGGGGCGTAGACCCTTACTTAACTTTTGGAAAAAACATCTGTAGGGCTGGGGGTGTGGTGTGTTAATAGAAACTGATGGGTTGGTTTGGGGGTAAGACAAACATTTAGCATTACTGCATGAAATTGTAGCTTTGGAACTTAGAGCTTTAATTTGCATTAAAAAATATTTTGTCTCTCTGCCTGGGAATAGACTAATAGAATTTCAGGCAGTTCTTTGACTCGCATAAAAAAACTATGGTCACTTGTAAGGCTGGATAAATCTTCTATTCCTGTGAGATGTTCGGCACACA